GGTGATGTATAGCGGTGTATGGTGATGTATAGGGGTGTATGGTGATGTATAGGGGTGTATGGTGATGTATAGGGGTGTATGGTGATGTATAGCGGTGTATGGTGATGTATAGGGGTGTATGGTGATGTATAGGGGTGTATCGTGATGTACAGGGTTGTATGGTTATGTATGGGGGTGTACGGTGATGTACAGGGATGTATGGGGATGTATAGGGGTGTATGGTGATGTATAGCGGCGTATGGTGATGTATAGCGGCATATGGTCATGTATAGGGGTGTATGGTGATGTATAGGGGTTTATGGTGTTTTATAGGGTTTTATGGTTATGTATGGGGGTGTACGGTGATGTATAGCGGTGTATGGTGATGTATAGGGGTGTATGGGAATGTATAGGGGTGTATGGTGATGTATAGGAGTATATGGCGACGTATAGGGGTGTGTGGTGATGTATAGGGGTGTATGGTAATGTATAGGGGTATTTGGTGATGTATAGAGGTGTATGGTGATGTATAGGGGTATATTGTGACGTATAGGGATGTGTGGTGATGTATAGGGGTGTATGGTGATGTATAGCGGTGTATGGTGATGTATAGAGGTGTATGGGAATGTATAGTGGTGTATAATGATGTATAGAGGTGTATTGGGATGTATAAGGGTGTATGGTGATCTATAGGGGTGTATGGTGATCTATAGGGGTGTATGGTGATGTATAGGGATGTATAGGGGTGTATGATGATATCTGTAGGTGTTTATAGTATAATAATAAGATTTATTAAGACATAATAGGTATGTTTAGGTACATAATAATAATCATATATGAAGTACCTACCGAGAGAAGCTGAAAAGAATAATGAAGCACTAACGAAATTACCTTCATCGTGAGATGCATTGCTTCCCCAAACAAGACATGTGAAGAGAAGAGTTACCGCTGCTAAATATTTCTCGGCCATTATTTTGTCCTTGTCTGATTAACTTCGCCTAGTGACATATATCACATTTCTGTAGTTTTTCATCGTCATTACACATTATCTGTCAATTTCTAACTCGGAGAAATTAAGCCCGTCATGGGATCCCACGTCTACTACAACTGCGACTCCCGAAGGTGCCCGGCGTAGTTCATTCTTTTGGAGCTGACTGGAAAGAATAGGCGGTTTCTGTATCATGTAGCGACTAAGATTATTGCCACTCCCCCTGGATGGGCTGCTAGTCCATCACGGGGTTACCACCAGCATTAAATTCGCCGGTACCTATTTATATGCCTGGGTGGAGAGAGGCACTGTGAGACTGAAGTGTCTTGCCCAAGAACACAACACAATGTTCCCGACCAGGACCCGAACCCGGACCACTCGATCCGGAGTCGAGCACACTAACCATGAGGCCACCGCGCCTCCCACAGAGTACAGACAGGAGCCCATAATGGGCTCCTGGTATAGAAAGGGAAGGGAAAACTGTCATTTAGGTATATGAAACCGGAAGGAAGGCGGATGGTAGCATTTATATGTATCGGGCCTCTGGTATCAGACGTAAGTTCAAAACAAACATCAGACTCCTAAAACTTGAAAGGAAAACAAAGGGAGGGGGGTGGACAGGTACCTGAATTAGTAAAAAGGATGTAAGCAAATGTACCAGTTATGTACAGTTTTGATTTTCTTGTTGCTTATGAAAGGGGGGGGGGGTTGGCTTAACACGATGGTCAGAAATAGGTGTTTTTCCTCCCACATAGGTCACAGAGACGTGAAGAATTTTCCAAATGGCATGAAACTTGGCAGGATTGTTGCTTGAGAGATTCTACATTTCTTAATGGCAGTTTGACAGTCTTGATGGACATTGTTACGTCACAAATAGTTTCCAAATTTGGTGCCAAAATTTAGAATTAAGAAAATCGCCAGAAAAACCACATAGAGGTATTCTGTGATCAGAGTGAAGCTTTCCAATGAAAAGCCCGTTAAAATCCATTAAAACGGGACAAAGTTACAAGCTATTTTGTGACTGACAATAAAAGAAGGAATTTAAAGAATTTAATTGTTTTATCACCTTATATGGTGAAACTTTAGGGGGTTTCCAGTTCAAGACAATAAGTGGACGTTAAAAGAAAAATAGCGGATAACACACTGGAGAACATTTGTAGTTTTTTGAATTTGGGACACTGTAGGTATTTTCACTTGTGACGTCATCAACACGTAAATATGACGTCAACATGGTATGAAATGACGTAACATGCAACCTGACACCCCATGTCCCAAATTCAAAAAACTACAAATTTGCTTTTATGCATGGTTCGCTTAGTTTCCTTACTGTTTCGTTTAATAAGCTGGAGTTTAAATACCCCTAAAGTTTGACCATATATGGTTAATTCCATACATTTGGCGGGAAATTTAAACTTTTTAAATTAGCTATAACTTTGCAACAATTTAACGGATTTAAGTGGGGTTTTCACCAGAAAGCTCAGTTTTTTTATAAATTTTATTTATGAAGTTATTTAAGTCAAATAATTAATTCCA